ACCCGCGATAAGTGAAAAACCGCCAAGTAGGGATACAGTAGTCCAAGTTCAAGTTCAGTAAACTTTGTCATGACATGTGCCAGGCTGTAATCCCATTCACTATCACCTGTTACTCCCAATTTCCCTCCTTAAATAAACTATTTAAATTTAAATACTAAAACATTTTGAATAAACAACCCATGGATTGTTTATTTAAAATATTACATTATTTAAACTTCAATTGTAGAGAAGAGAAGTGCAGCAGGACGTCAAAGGGATTTCACACAGCCTCAGCTCTGCAGCACGGAGCAGAAATGTACTTCTTGATCAATTACACTTCAACAACTGAATATAGAAAAAATAACTTAACACTTTTATATTTTATGATTGTGATGATTTTTACGATGTGACACACTTTGAATTTTAAGTTGGAAGACAAAAGTCGATCGGTGCATCTGGACAGCAAAGGGTTAACCCCTCACAATGCTGCAGCAGCAGGTGGCTGTAGCTGGTTTTTCACTATTTTTCCTTTAATTATCTTTTTAATTACCATTTTATTTTCATTTGTAAAAAAATAAACAACTGTACGCATCCTTTATGATTGTCTATTGTTGTCGTCACTCTTTGCTAAAATTCAGGTCTCTCTTGTAAACGAATCCCTGTGACTCAATGGGACTAACCTGTATAAGTAAAGGTTGAATGAGTTGCAGAGAAGGAAAACAGCTGATTGGCTGCAGGAGGGAGCGTTCTCTTGCACTTGTGGGCTTCACACATGGTGCAAAATCATTTAGAATAATTTAATTTAAATAAACAACCCATGGCTCATCCATCCATCAGCCAACTGTGTCATGTCCAAACTTACTTTGAAAAACCACAGTATAGCAAATCTGCAATAAACAAATCGCGAATAACTAATGCACTTGTAGAGATGAGGAGGAACAGAAAATGGCACACATCCAGCTAATTGGACCTAACAAGATTTGACAGGACTTGCTTTTTCAGTTTGTGATCTAACACAGGAGGAAGACGAGCTGTGACTCTGGAGGAAGAGGTGGTGAGAGAAAGAGTGTGAAGAAAAAGGAAGGAGACAAGATGAAGAGCAAGAAAAAGGTCTGTAGTGTGAGAGAAAGATCTCTAGCATACAGTATGTTTAAAAGAAGAGTTGTGCAGGAGCTAAACTCTGATAAAGTCACAGAGCAGCCCTTCATTAAACAATTAAAACATCTGGATTAAGACAAAAATAAAGTCTATGTGTGTCAGAGCATTATTAAAAAAACATCTTATTTATCTGTCATGGAAAACCCCTTCCATCTGATGAATCAGAAGTTTGTGGCACTCAAGAGAAATAATAAAAAGGCTGATTCCAAAGTGAGACATGGTGACATGTTTCTGTCTGTGGCTGTCCTGAAGTAAACCAGTGCTTCCATCAGCGAAGACAAGCGGCACATTTCTCTAAAGAGACGAGTCTTTTCCCGTTTGCTGTGTCAAGATTCATCAGGATGTCCTGACAGAGCTGAGTCAGCAAACAGCTCAGCTCGAGATGTTCAAGCAAAGTGTCTGTCAGAGCAGTGGATTTAACAACAGCTGGAGGCCTTTCAAAATAAATGTCAGCACATCTTTTCCTCACTTCGTGATGGAGTCGTTCCAAAACTGACAAAACACTGACTCCAGGACGATGCCCGACATGTTCTGAAGGAACTCTTTAATCTTTCAGGGTAATGTTGATTTTAGAAATGCAAAAAAATTTACTGTAAATTTGCACATTGTATTAGTTTGTCATTGCTGATTGATTTTTTTTCTTGAGAAAAATAAAAGCTAGGGTTTAGTGATTAAAAACTGATTAAATTATTTTAGTATTTACTTTGAAATCACCAGAAACTTTCCCTGATATTCAGAGAAATCATAGAACAACTTGATAGGTATCATTTATAAATTCTTAATGTACATTCACAGAATAATAATAAAAAAACAGCAGATTTCAAAGTGCCAATCATAAAATAAATAATAAATTATACATACTGAGCAAAAATCAAGAAGCTATTAGTGGGAAAGGTTTGTACGCCCGTTTCATAGGATTTAACAAGAATCACCTAGATTTGCGCCGCTCGGGGTGAATGCATGTTGGAGTAGCTCTGTTGCTTTCATTCTGAGTTATTGCTTTTGAAAACTTGCAATCCTCCTTTTTTTGGATGTAAACTGCTTTTTTCGGATCATTATTTACTCTGGAGTCAGATGCTGTGCAGCTGGAAGGCTTTTTACTGAAACCTTTTTTACTTTTGGGCATTTGTTATGATGCGCACCCATAGCAACAAGGTGCGTTTGAACAACAAGGAGCAGCTGATTAACATTTCAAAGCTCAAATATCTCAACTACAGCCCCATATCCCAAATGAGTTGAAAAGGAGGCACCGTGGATGAATTCCCGTCAACCTGGTGGTGGTGGGTGAGTACCTGACCACCGAGATCCTGGAGCTGGTGGGAAACTTTCTTCGTGACAAAGAGAGTACCGGGATCATACCCCGGCACCTTCAGCTGTCTGTGGTGACGAGGAGCCAGCAGACTGATGGGAGCAGTGACCATCGCTCAGGGAGGATTCTGCCCAGCATTTGGGCAGTCCTGCTGCCTAGGAGGACCAAGAGGCCCGCAGGATCTGCCAGCAAGCTGGATCCAGGTGGATGGATCAGTATCTGTGGCCAGATTCTTAGGATTCACTGCAGGAGATCCTGCCTGCCCACAGCTATCAGCATCTAACAACTCTTGAATGAAACCAGGATGATGAGCTACAAAATTTCTTTTTGGGATTAATAAAGTATTTTTGAATTGAATTGAAATGAATTGAACAGGAAATGCATCAGCCAGTCGCTGCTCATCAAACGTCTTTGATGAGCTCATTAGTTTAAACAGCTCTATAAAAAAATGACTGTTTGCTTGGGGCGACTGTGGCTGAGTGGTTAGAGCAGTCGTCCTCCAATGCGAGAGTTGGGGGTTCGAATCCACCAGCAGTCACACGCCGAAGTGTCCCTGGGCAAGACACTGAACCCCTCATAGCCTCTGATGTGTGTCCCATTGGTATATGAATGTGATCTAAAGCACTGATTAGTCTCATTAGAATGATTTGTTCAATTAGCTTTGTAGAGATCTAGTGCTGTGTGGATGGGTAAATGAGGCACAGATTGTAGTGTAAAGCGCTTTGAGTATCTTGAAATAAGATAGAAAAGCACTATATAAGTAGATCAGAGAGCTGAGTCAAGGACTTTTTTTTGGACTGGGGACTTCAAGACGAAGTTGAACTTTTGGTTCACCTTGATGGGACAACAGTCTGCAGCAGCATTTTCTGCAACAAGAACCACCTAAGTGCTCCTGTCTTCACACATTTACTCCTAACTGCAAGTGTTTGTTTTAATCTCAACACATCTTTGACTTTCACAATGCTTTTTAAAAAGTGGAACATTGGACCTGATTATAAACCAAGTCTGCCACCTTGTGTATGAAACAAATTCAGCATGCTTTTCTGTGTTTGACTGCTTCTTTCAAACTAGCATGAAGGATTTAGTCAATAGTTCACAGCTGATGTGCTTCCTGGGCTCACACCTGCAGCGCTGACCACCAAGCTACAGCTGCTCACATCTGGAGCATGAAAAACTGTCAGCTTACACTAAATTAAAACACTGTTTATTAGTCATTAGACATTTAAGGAAAAAAAAAAGAGACTATAGTAGAACATAAAACGGTACTACTTTACAATAAGGCTCCCCTTATAGATGGCTAATAGTTTATGGATACATTATTAATTCCTCTATAAACACTTTATAAATCATTAATAACTGTTTATTATGCATTAATTAAGGATGACAGAGACAAAACTAAGCAGTTTCTTGCCAAATCTGTTCTATATATTTCATCTAGTTATATTAGACTTTTCAGATTAAGTTACTACCTTGTATTTGTAAACCTATTTTTTTTAGCATAAAATATTGTACTTTATCACCGCATTAGAAGTATCTGCAACTAATATTATATCATGAAAAATAGATTTTATTAGGCTTAATTAATCCATAATAAGCAGTTATTAATGATTTATAATGTGTTTATTGAGGAATTAATAATTTATAAACTATTTATTAGCCACCTAAAAGGGGAGCCTTTTTTGTAAAGTGGTACCTACAAAACTACATATTTATAATTCCTTTATTATATCGGAAGTCATGCCAAATTATTCTGTCAGAATGAAAAGGAAAAAGAATCATTGCATATTATATACTTTATTTATTGTAAACTTTTGGAAAGACATGATGAAATACCTTACATTATGAAAATGGACATTATTGCCTTTTGATCGACACGGAGCGATGACCGTCAGAACGTTGGTCAAATTATTTACCGGTTGAGGGCTCAGCGCTCCACCGAGCAGAAATATATATGACGAGTTGATGTAGCTATTATTTTACAATACAAGTCAAAATACTGAAATGTAGTCAAGACTTTCAGCAGCATGCAAACACAAACTGTCTTAGCTCGTAATCACGTGAGAAATAAATCGAACGATGACGGACCAAGTCCTCGTTGAACCTTTCGTGAGTCACGTCTCTCATCAAGTGATGAACTAAAACCTCAGCAGATTCATACGACATCACCCGCCTGTCCAGCTGCTCATATACACTGTTTACACACAAAACGTGTTTATCATCAGGTAAACTGAACAATTACTGGATGTAACCTGCGATGCAACAACAGCTTCCCCATATAGCTTTTATATACAGTTAAATATATTATTTGACTTACTTATGGAAGACAAGCAGTTTAGTACAAAATAAAATAGACATTTTTTCCATCTTAACTCCAAGAAGAAAAGCAGAGTGGAATAAAACCGTTTACTTCTTTATGCTTACACGTATTTCATTTAAATATATTTTCCCCTCCCTAATATAGTATTTTTGACAGAATCTGAAGAGTTTTTTAAGAAAATCTTAATTTCTCGAACACATAAAAGAAAGTTCATGTTCTGCTCGGCTAAAAGAAGGAGGGCTGCATCGGTTTGATGGTGGCGGTTCACCGTTTCTTCAACAGAAGTCTGTAGAGGGCGAAGCCCACCACTGCGAACGCAGAGGCCCCGACGCTGACTTTCAGCCAGAACGTTGAGCTCTTCAGGTCTTCTTGGCTCACGTGTCTGAGAAAGAGACAGACAACATACAGTAAATACGGAGGAAGAGTAAACACAAGCAAGAGAGAAGAAAGGAAACAACACATAAACAAGATTGCATGCTTCAAATTAACTTAAAGGGCTGAAAGAAGTTCTAATATTTCAACTCCAGATTTAAATCAATGACACAAGTAAAGTCTCTGCTGGACAGTTCTTAGAAAGAATTACAAGAACAAAGACAACAGACGACAGAACATGAGGGAAGTCTGGATATCTGAGTGCGCTGAAGCAAAAACCAATGAAATGGATGGAACAGGACTTCAGGACTGGAGTTGGAACATGAGAGCAAGAAGATGAATGAGTTCTGAGAAATGTGTCAGACCACAGACGCATTCAAATATGATGAGAGGAAACACGTGGGACTTCACAATAAATCAAACGTGATGAGAACTGCTTGAATGTCTTGTGAATAAAAGAAACTAGAATATTTAATATAAGAAATGTTGAAGAGTGCCGTTATTCATGGGCAGAAACTTGTGCCACCAGAAACTGAATTTGAATTGCTCAGACTGAATCTGTATTCACATAATTTGAAATGAAATCCAGTTTGAAAATTAATTTTACTAAAATTAAACTGAATTCATTCACTTTGAAATTGTATTTCGCTGTATTGAAAATTCAGTTTGACTACCAGTACTTTCATTTTCTGTTCTATAATTCAATTTCAAGTCCAAAATTCAGCTATGTGTGTCACACATCCGGGTCCTTGAGAAGCCACGGAGTAATCCAATGTAGATTGACAGATTTATGTTTCACGTCAGTGAAACTTCTTTTATGGAAATGTAGGCATGAGGGTCACACTCGAGGAGACGCTGATGCAATAGTGGATGCAATCCACCATAAAACACCAAAGAGGAAAAAGAACTTCCTTTACGTATTTTGAGCTGGAGCAGTGGTGCACAGTGCACACATGACTTCATGCCAAGTTCATGTGTGCACCACTGCTCCAGCTCAAAATACGCCGTACAGGAAGTTTCACTGACGTAAAACGTCAATGTGTCAATCTACATTGGATTACTGCGTGGCTTCTCAAGGACCCAGATGTGCGACACACAAAGCTGAATTTTGGACTTGAAATTGAATTATAGAACAGAAAATGAAAATACTGGTGGTCAAATTGAATTTTCAATACAGTGAAATACAGTTTCAAAGCACTACATTCAGTTTCATTTTAGTAAAATTCATTTTCAAACTGGATTTAATTTCAAATTATGTAAATACATATTCAGTCTGAGCAATTCACATTCAGTTTCTGACAGCACAAGTTTCTGTCCATAATTATTCCATCACAAGTTTATTCTCTAAAACCCCAAAACAACTGGGGGCTTTTATTTTGTAATATTTTAGGCTGACTACGTGCACATATTATGATGTAAAGAGTTTAAAAAGAGCAAAAATAATTGAGATAATAAAGAATGTTAAAGCTGCAGCTGGTGGCTCATTATGGTCACTATGGTAACCACACATTTGTGCCCGTCACTCCCTGACTCCTAATAAGATAAGCTGATGCCAAACACCTACGAAGCAAAAGATTCCTGAGCTGTAAATGGCAGCAGCGTTAGGTTACAAACGCTCTACAGCTTCTTCTTCTTTCGAAGTTTCCCTCTTTGGGGGTCTCCACAGTGAGTCCTCCTCCATCACTGTCCTCTGTCCTCACTCCAACTACCTCCATGTCCTCTCTAACTGCATCCATATATCTCCTCTTTGTTTTTTTTTCTGGCAGCTGCATTTCTAACATCCTTCTACCAATACACCCACGGTCCCTCCTCTTGACTTGTCCAAACCATCTCGGTCTGGCCTCCCTAATTTTATCTTCCAGTTGTTCAACCTGAGCTGTACCTCTGATGATCTCATTCTTATCCATCCTTGTCACGCCTAAGAAGAACCTCAACATCTTCATTTCTGACAATTCCAGTTCTTTCTTATGTCTTTTTGTCCATGTCTGTCTCCAGACCATACAACATAGCTGGTCTCACCACTGTCTTGTAAACATTTCCTTATGCATTGCTAGTTTTTTCTAAAGCTTTAGAAAGTTTATATTAAGGTGAAAGAAATGAAAAAGCCACTAAAATATATGGATTCTTATTTTGATGGCGATAACTTTTTTTTACTGCTGTCCAAAAGAAAACCAAATAAATCTGCAAATGGGACAATTTAAACACATTTTCAACCAATTCTCCCTAAAAATAATTTATTAAAACTTACTGTGTGTAGTGCATCTGCTACCAAACTCAACACTCGTGTAGTGCAGCAGTCATAAAATTCCCCACTTTGATTTAAAATGCATGTGCCATGTGTGATGTACAATCTGTTGTGATCTTTTATAATTCATGCAGAAAAACAGTATGACAACAAATATAGAATTTAAAGAAATACAGGAATGGGCAGCAAGCGCTGTTGGTGATTACATATCTCAGAGGAAGAAAGTAGAAGACCTTCTGAGTACGACAGCGTAGAGTTTGGCCCTGACGGTCTGCAGCAGTTCAGAGTTGAGGAAGTTCTGACACAAGCAGAACGTGCACCGGTTACAGGTGCACATGCAGCGCAGCCGGGCGTGGCTGAGGAGAGACACAGGGAGGACACACACCCACAACACACACATGAACAAAACAAACAGGACGCAAACCACAGAGTTGCGGAGTTAAAAGCAGCATTCAGACTTCAATGCCGTCATTAAAGACAAGTTGACACGTTTCTTCTGTGAGCAACATTTAAATAAATAATAATAAAACTTTGCAGTAAATATTAAAGAAGTAAGGGAACGTTTGAGTGAATAAACAGCATAAAAAACAGTTTTGGAAAAGTGTCCCCTTTTTCGGTGTGCTCCGTTTCTCAAAGTGGGCTAGGGTTGTAGGCACACAACTATGAAACAACTGGGAAATGACACAAAAACATAATAATAAAATCTGAGTATGCCTAACTATCACCTAGAGCCTGACCGATATATTGGTAGGGCCAATAATTTAGGCCGATATAGACGTTTGGGGACCTATTGCTGCTCATAGTCATATACTCACTCATAGTCTGCTCACAGACTCATGTTCATGTTTGTGCTGATGTTCAATGTTTTTATGTAATGAGTGCTTAGTGTATATTTAGTTTATGTTTTTCTTAGTTCATATCTTAGATGTTATTACTGTTTTTCTTATACATTTTATTGTTGGATGTAACTGGGACCTTGTGTACATAATTTCGCTCCACCACATGTACCACATGAGGTGCGAATGACAATAAAGAAACTCTGACTCTGACTGACTCTGACTATCGATATCGGTGATAATTGTCCCATTATGCGCCAATATAAGCGCTTCTAATTTTCACCATTAAAATGCTGGGAACTCGCTGTATTCATTCATACACATCTACTCACTACAGACTCGTGTTCGGGCTGCTATACCGTATTATTTTATATTATTAGTGATTAGCATATATCTTAGATCTTTATATACCATTTCTTTTTACACTTTATATTTTGGCTATTTTTGGATGTAACTGGGACCCTGTGTACATAATTTCGTTCCACCTCATTTACCATATGGGATGTGAATGACAATAAAGAAGCTTGAACTTGAAGTGTACAATGTATCCAACAGAGGGCGCATGAAGACTACTTTCGAGCCATGGTCGTTCACTTAAGTTTCACTTTGATAATCATCACAGCCTAAGCAGAGAGCAATACTGTGTAGCATATTTTTCTGAACAGACCATGGTAAGTTTATTTGAACTGATCTGTAAAACAAATCATCAATAATAAATTCTCTTCAATCCTCCAACCTGCTTGTCATTAGCTACGTGCCTCTCAAATTAGCAAGCTAGCATTTAGGTAACCTAGCATAATGCAGAGACTAATTTCGCCATTGTATGGAAACATACAGTGATGACATTATTATTATTATTATTATAAGCTATTGTCTTATAAAACTTCAGCCAGAACAATAATTCTAACACAGAGATAAATATTTATCAGTGTTAGTAACGTTATCTTTGTCATCCTCAATGAAATGCATTATTTGTCTGAAATTTTTATGTCTCTGCAAAAAAAAAAAAAAAAAAAAAAAAACTCTTCTGCAGTCAATGCTAATTAGACCTTGACCATACGTGAGGGAATGGTATTTTTTTGTGTAATTTTGATTTTTGTAACACACTTGTTAACTTTATGGTTAATAGTGGAGGATAGAAAATGTGAATGCACATTAAGTAGACTGTTTTTATGACCAGTGCACCACTTGTAAACCTACTGTGGGACTAGTTACAGCGTGAATCTGATTAGCTTAGCTTCATGGTTGCTAACAGCTGAGCTCAATAAAGAAGCCCGGCTCCACTCGCTGTTTTTTTAGATTCTTGGGGGTGAACAAAGCTCAAAATTTTTCAGCCATTATGTCAGTTATTGGCAGTCGCCTTCCCCTCCCAATACCAGTATTGGCGATAGTCAACATTTCCATATCGGTCGGGCTCTAACATTAACCCCTCCACAGTGAATAGTCTGAGTCAGAACCTTTGCAGCAGAAAAGGGAGCATCAGGTACAGCCCAGCTCTGTGCAGCTCATGGTTGTTAAACCGTCTGTGTGTTTGGTGGAAGACCCTTTCTTATCTAACCTTTCTAAATCTAATTTGTAATCCAATTCTAAATTTTATCTAAAGTCCAAGGTGTAAATGGGGGCGACTTTGCAACGTACTGCACAATACAAAACCTGCAAAAATTCAAAAACATTTCTGTGTTTTCTCCAATAAGTGATGTGAGGTGGTTTGTGTTGACGGTGAAGTGGAGCCCCTGACTGACTGCAGGAGTGTGAAGCTCTCAGACCAAATACCATCTGCACTCCACAGGAAACCTTCAGAAGATCCACAGTGCTGACCTCGGTGACGTCAGATTTAAAGCAACGTGTCCAGAATCTTTACAGTTATGGATGCTGAGAAAGAACCCCATGTCAAAGAGGGACACTTAAAGACAGCAGGGACATCAACAACAAACAGGGACTGTGAACTGTATATACAAACAAAAAACAAGAAGAGAGGAGTATTTGATGCACACCGACTGATATGAACAAATGCATTTCTGCTTTATCAGCAAATCCTCCAACGGTTCAGAAAATATCAAAGTTTGGATAAAGAACAGCAAACTGATAATCAGAGAAACTCTTCATCTAAGGCCCCAGCAGCTGCTCAGAGGAGCAACTTTTCATTAAAGATTTGAAAAGTTCATCCCTGAGTTTACGTCCAGGACTGCAGCTAATAAAAATTCTAGTACTTGACTATTAAATTATTGTTTTAGTGTTCAGAAAGCTATTTTTCAAAGTCAGTGCTTCCCTGAAATCCTCCATTCTAGATTTATATGTGAAGTTGTTCCCTCAGTCTCCATCAAAACTACACATTCCTTATCAGAGTTTTCTGTTTTTCTCAAAACACTAACAGTCACCTTGAGCTTGCTAACTTTAGTCCAGGAATCAGACGTCAGGATGTTTGTGACAGTCTCTTTTTAACATTGTTACAAGGTGGTAAATTATCTGTCAGGTATGACGAGCTGAGCGAGGGAATGATCTGCAGCTCTGATCAACATCCTTTGACAAACCAATTTATTGGTCTGTATTCTTCTGGAAATATATCTTTGATACTGAATCAGTCTGTTGCAGAGGAGTGCCCTAGCAGAGACAATGGAAAATTCAACAGTGTTGATCCCTTTATGCATGTGAACATCAGGAAAGCTATACTTGATTTCCCTCTTGATGCATGCTGCAAATGTTTGCATAGATATATTGAGATGGTGATGACATTTTACTAACTGTACTCCAGTTTGTGCAGGAGGATTCAGGACACTCCTGCCTGTTGGTCTCACTATGGACAATGATTGTAACATGATGAACACCATTTTAGTCAGAATGTATCAGTTTAATGTTTGTACAAAGCTGTTGAGTGTTTTCATTTTCTTCAGTGTGATACGGTCCCAAATTTTGAGCATTTCTGGTTCTTTTCCCTGATTTTCTCCTAGTCATTTTCAGTCTTTCCACCATCACTCATAATTTAGAATGAACGTGCGACACTAATAACAGTCCCTGTGAAACATAACCACCGAGCTGTATATACTTGGCTTGTGTGGGTAAACCAAGCATCCAAACACCTTTACCTTGAGAATTTCTTTTCTAATCAAGTTATTCAAGTCCCTCAAATGAATTATTTCAGCCCTAACTATACACAAACAAAACCACAATCTATTCTCAGCCACGTGCAGCCAATATAAAACGTGTGTTTTGAAGGCCACATGGCAACAAAGAGGCAGCAGCATTTACTAAATAGCGTTTTCCTTTTTCATTGTAAAATAAATACAACTAAAAGTTTACAACACTTTTCATAGCTGTGAAACTTCACTTATAATCTGCTTTTCCTGTTCAGATGAAAATGTAGAGTGAAATGCCTGCATACGTACGGGTACATGGCCATCGTGGTCAGTTTGGTGTAGATGTCCCTGCAGGGTTCAGCTGCTGTGTTACAGGTGAACGACTGTGCGGGGGGCATCTTGTGCCTCCTGCAGAACTCCAGAGGACTGCAGCTGTACATCTGTTTGATCTCCGGCAGGTCTGACTTGGCTGCGATCAGCATACACAGTGTCTTGCTGTCCATGAAGTATTGCTGAGGGAAAACCACGCATTACAGCATGATTTAAAGTGCGCACATATTTTAATCTCGACTACAACGAATGCAGTTCTACCTTGAAGACATTGGCGCAGTACTCAAAGGAGTAAGGGTTGCTGACATCATAAACCAGGCAGACAATGTCACAGGCCAGATCGGCATCCGTCAGGTAGTCGAAGTCCGGGAACACTTCATGAAGCTGGAGAGAATCAGTCACTTGCACATGTAAATTGTAAAACACTCTTCTACACAGGAAAGTAGCTTTAAAAAAAACCCACATCACACACTGACTGGAATACCAAACATTTAAACAACGATCTCCCACTATCTGTTAGAACTCTGACTCTATGATGGGAATGACTCTCAGCCACTACCACCACAGTTTTTAGCATACACAAAACAGACCTATACCCATGTTTGCGTTTGCTAAGATCAATTAGCTGTGGTGGCCATCTTGAATCAAGTTGACTCTAAATGTTAATCAGTTGCAGATGTTCATCCAAGGATTACTTTCTACAAGTTTCATTAAAATCCATCCACTTGTTCATGAGATATTGGGCTAAAAGACAGAAAACAAAAAACATGAATAGACGTACACAAACACGGACAGATACAGACAAATACACAAACACCTGCTTTTCTTGGTGGCTGGGAATAATTACTACCGTAGTATTCTGAAGAGTCTTTATTCAACACTGTGATTCTCTGACCCTCCCTGTTTAAACACTAAATGAGAAACTTGATATTAGAAAGCAACAAACTAGATACTGTCAGTTCTTTTACAACAACACACAGCTCAGTTATTGGACATGCAAAGTTTACTATGACATCACTGCACACACTACTTTTGTAAAAACTGTGAGAAGCGTTTGCTCAACAAAATCAAGTGAAAAGCATCCATCCATCCATTTTCTTTACCCGCTTATTCCATTTTGGGTCACGGGGGTCGCTGGTGCCCATGTCCAGCAATCACTGTGCGAAGGGCGGGGTACACCCTGGACGGGTCGCAAGTCCATCACAGGGCCACATAGAGACAAACGAGACAAACAACCATTCACTCTCTCACTCACACCTAGGGACAATTTAAAGTTACCAATCAGCCTAACATGCATGTTTTTGGACTGTGGGAGGAAACCGGAGTACCCGGAGAAAACCCACGCATGCACGGAGAGAACATGCAAACTCCACCCAGAAAGGCCCCTGGACCGGGGTTTGAACCAGGGACCTGCTCGCTGAGAGGCAGCAGCTCTACCAGTTGCGCCACCGTGCAAGTGAAAAGCATAAGAAGCTTAAATAATTAGCGGATGTAAGCTATTTGTTCTTTAAGATCTGTCCTTGAACAAATTCAGTTTAAATCCTAAAATATTTCTTAAGGTCTAAACATGAGATTTTGTTTTTTTTTACTCAAGGAAATGTGAAGGTGCTGGACTGTTACATACTGTAAAATCATATACCTTATAGTTTCATTATTACAGAAATTTAAACAATGGAAACGCTGAAGCACTCACCAGCAGGTACTTCTCTTGTCCATAAACATAGGTTGTACTGATGGCGTAGTAGGATCTGTGTTCCTCTTTAATCGTCTTTTGTCGCTGAGATAAAATAAAAAAGGACATTATGATGAACTTGCCACCATTTTCAATTTTACAGGAAAAATGATTAAAAAAAGAAAGAAATGTGCTTCAATAATGACAGTGAATTTCCGATCTTTCACTGAAGCATTTTTTTTCTTGTATGATGGAGATGATCAAAGCTCAGCATGAAGCAGAACACACGTCACCAACAGGACGAAAAACATTAATATTGGGATCAATTTTAAAGCAATACGAAAAGTTAATTTTGAAAATTAATTCGATGAGGAATATACGCCGTACATGGCAAAACCATCCTTTCCCACCCTGCGGTGACTGAAACAGAAATTACACAGATCTGAAAAGGCTGAAAGACAAGTTAAAGCATCTTAAACTCTTTGTTGTGATGCTCAACACATTCCTGAACAGTTTTTGTACAATAACAACCTTGCTGAAAAAGGCCATTATCAATGTTCTGCTGTCATAACAGAGTTGAAAAAACAAGCTTTTAGTACAGCCAGTGATGAGCAGCTCATTCCAGCATGTCACTGGGCTGCCACAGTTGATTACCAGTAGTTTGCAAATGTCATTCATGAGAGAGAGAGTTGCTGTGAAAATCTTCAATTCATATCAAAGTGTTCTTACTTCAGTTTCTGTAACTCTAGAGCACAAGAGTTGTATTGATGCCTGAACGGGAGCTCTAATTATATATATATATATATATATATATATATATTTATATATATTTGGAGCTGAAGCCTCAAATGTTTTTTAGTTTATTTTTTTTTTTTTTTTTTTTTTTTTTTTTTTTTTTTTTTTTTTTTTT